TGATATTGCACAGCTGAGAGAACTAGAAGTACAGGGTTCATCAAGAGTGGGTGTATATTGATTGATATGAAGATATGTCTGATGGAGGTGCATCAAAAGGAGCCTGTGTTGGACAGAACCAGTACAACTCCTTTACTAGGCATTCCATCTAAGAAAAATTGTGAGAAAAGAGCATACAGCAGAGTTTTTCAGTATGCCTTTTGGTGCTTTGACTAACAAAGTTCCTTTGGGTCTTACTGCAAATGCTTGCAGTTTGGTCAGTGGAGGCTTTACAAGTCTTATCTCCCTGTGCCAGCATTTCTGAATGTGGGCCTGAAGCTGAAGTAAAAGTTATACAGTGAGCCCAGATCTCCCAGGGAGCTAATTTGGGTCTGAATTCCCTATTGCAAGGGATTATTATTGCTTAATCTGCTGGTAATGTGGCAGTCTAATCAGGTTACTTTACTTCTGCATGCTGATGCATTAAGGCTTGATTCTTCTTCCATAGAAGAAATAACAAAATTCCCACTGTGTTCTGAGAAAGTAAATTTGAGCCTGCAGTTACTTGATGTGTCAAAAAAGACTCACTGTTCTACCTTTCAGTGTGTGAAAGAAATAGATTTACCAAGGACAATGTTAATAAGACATAATCAAAATCTAACTCATCTGTTTGATTTAGTAAGTTGCTTCTGAAAGCTTATTTATGCTTACTGAGGTTATTTATTGCTGTTATTTCAGTGACAGAATAATTTTCTAACTGTTCTTCTAACTGAACCCTGTACTGTTCACCAGTTTCTATTCTGTTAAATGCCCTCAAACAATACAGACACTTGTCAGATCAGTTTAAGAGTAATTTTGGATTTTTAGATTAAAGGATTTTGCTTAAGAAAAGGGATACTGTCTTTATTTGTTCATTTCATTTGTGGAAAAGTCCAAAGAAATATTGTGTTCTTAAGTGAATGTGATGATAAAAATTTCCCTTCAGTGTTTCCATCTGACAGGTGACATCATTTGAGTCATGAAAAGAATGAGAAATCAGAACTAAATCAGTTGATCAAATTCCATTATCTGGGTCCAAGACAGAAAAAAAAATCCAACCTAGAAACAAACAGCTTTAATAAGGCTTAATGGTATTTTAGACATTTTACTTTTAATCCAAGATGCTATTAATAGCATGATAATGTTTTAACATACCTGACAAGATTTAGGACTAGAAGTCCTAATATAATGATAATAAATTTTGTGAATACGTAGTAAAATGGTGATTTGTTATGTCGATTTTTAAATGATACTTAGGAGACACCATGTCATCATGACGTAACGCTGTACTTGACAAGGCGCTGTAGAAAGTAACTAGTAGTGGAATTAACTGAAGGAGTAGTTTAACAGAATTTGGTGTGATATTTCCTAATTTGATGCTACTGGAGAACTTCAGTTCAATACTAGACTACATCCAAATGATGTGGGAACCTAAAATAGCACTTTACATGTTGAAATGCTGAAGTTCAATACTGTGATGTGAGGGGAAAAAAAGCACGCTTTTTTGGTAGTTTGAGTTTAGCTGAAGTTTGCTGGTAACTTTACTTAGTATCTCCCTATTCAGACTTCCCATGGGAGTATTCATGTCTAGACCTGGCTTGTGCTGAGCCTTATGTATGGGTTTGATTTGGATCAAAAAGAGAGGCTTCTGTGTACGTCACTGAAGGTATTCTGGGAGTGCCAAGCACAGAACAGCAGACTCCTTGCACAAACCAGCTGGGGCCACACTTTGAACATTTGTACCTGATTGTAGCATCTGGTGAGGTTAGACCTCGTGTTTGGTTTAGCAATAACTCCTTTTAAAACAGAGAATAAGTTGTTAAATCTGACAGCTGGACACTGCCTTTGGATTTGTGATGAATTCTGAAGGATTGTCCTACATCCTTGGAGCAGTCTGGCCAATTATATGTATTCAATTAGAAAACTAGTACTGTTAAAACCGAGTCCCAGTCTACTCAGCATGCCTTCCACATTTTCTCAAGCCCTATACAGAGATAGTTCCATGGATAATGTCCTGGTTAATGAAAGGGAAATTAATACAGTACTATGATAGGAGTAAAAGTACAAGTCAAGTTTATCCTGAAGTGTAGGAATGCAATGTTTAATGCATGGCAGGACAGAATGATGCAATTTCTGTTGGAATTGACTCATCTGTGAGAGCCTGACATAAATCATATTGCTGACCTACAAGTGACTGCATCTCAAATAATTAATACAGATAACAACCTTTTAAAACATTTCAGTAAATATTGGTTGCCTTGTGCTTTTTTGACTGGAAATCTCTTTTGCTTATTACAGTAAAAGAAGGATATCAGACCTACAGACAAATACTGACATAGTTTCACTTGTGCAGACGTTGTATTAAATACAGAGAGATAATTGTTTCATTTTCACCTAATCCCTGAACTTGTTATTAATTACTGGAACTGAGAAGCTGCTCTAATTTACATTGGTGGAAAATAAGGAAAAAAAGTTTGAAGTGTGACTAAAAGTAGTGTTTGAAGTACCAGATGCTGTGGTTTATAGTCCCAAAGCTCCATTAGGATGGCTTAAATGCTTCAAGTTAATGTATTACATTTTGGTTCTACATAGGTATCAGTCAGAGCTAAGAGCTGCTAAATAATACATATACTAGAAGAGGGTCTAGTCCTTTGAAGACTTTGCAAATCAAAAGACAGAACAAATAAAAAGAGGCCCAAACAAACATTCATTTAGTCCTGATATACTGGGTACAGTATTAGGATTTCTCTACACAATTCTTTCCCCATTCTACTGTGTATACCTCGTACACTTTTTTTCATTTTAAGAACCAATATCAGTAAAAACAAAGCTTTATACTAGTTCTACTGCATGTCAGAGGGAAAGTTTATAGGACCCTGAACCCTTCAGTGAGAGTGGTGAACATGGAGCAGATCACAAGCCACTAGGCTCTACTATGCCTAAAAAATTTGGGCTGACTGCCAGAGCTAGAGTTGCTGAGTGGAGGTAGTAACAGAAGGTAAAGTGAGAAGACAGTGATGGGAGTCTAGGGAATGAGTGAAAAGAGGTTACAGTGGAGTTCAGTAGGCAACTAGAGTGAAGTTCAATCTCCAAGTCCTTGGAAATTATGGGAAAAGGTAATTGGCCTCTTGGCTAGGGGGCTGGTGATGGTGGCAGAGGTTTTATTTCTGTTGCTGTGAAGTCTCATCTTTATAAGCTGTGGGCTGGGTTCCAGTGACTTAATGTCTTTCATTTGGGTCTGTCACAGATGAAGCCATGAGGTGCTTGATCTCTCTTACTCTGTTTACAGTACCCTGCAGTTCTCTCCTTCATGTGAATTTGTCAGAACATCATGCAGCCTTTCTACTATGGAGCAGATGCTGCAGCAAGTCCATAAGCAAAAGCTGAAAGGTCTCATGTTTCCTGGAGTAATTTCTAATTCTCATCAGTTAGCAGTTCTTGATTAGACTTCTTGTGTATTCCCTCTTTAGGGCTTTCATGAAGCTTAACACATAATCTAAATCCCTTTTAAGACTCCTAATTGTGCAGATGGCTTTGCACATACAAGTTTTATCCCATGTGATTAGTGAAGAATTTCTTGAAAAACATTCCTCCCCAAAATGTTATGGTTACCTTCAGTATGGCAGCTGCAAGCAAGTCTGTCTTTTAAATGATTCATTGTGTTGGAGAAAAGCACGTATTCAAATGCAGACATTTTTGTCTCTGTACATACATGTTTGAAACTGTAGGCTTTTAAAATGGATGTGGTTATGGCTTTTCAGATATTTCAGATAGTTTCTAGAAATAGGAAATAATTAAAAATATCTAAAACATCAAAGCTTGCAAGAGATGAGCATCTCTCCTTTGAAACTATGATGATGATTGTATATTCTGTGATGAAGAAAAACAGGAAAATAAGTCACCCTTGCTTTTGGAGCACTAGGTATAGCCTGTATATCAAAGTTTTTACCACTGCACAACTTTCTGAAATGGTCTGAAAAACTTAATCTACTTGGGTTAAAAAATGTTTTTAATAAATTCAAGAACAGCTGTTAAGTCAGGAAGTAATGGAATTGGTCTCCTAAATTTTATGTAGAGTGCTGGTGTGGTTTAACCCCAGTCAGCAGCCAAGCACCATGCAGCCCCTCACTCACTCCTACCTCTTCTCTTCCCACCTGCCTCCATCCCAGTGGAATGGGGAGGAGAATCAAAAGTAAAACTTGTAGGTTGAGATAACAATTTAATGAAGTAAAAAGTGGTAAATAATAGTAATTATAATACAAAGAAAGTGGGAGGGAAACAACCCAGAAACAAACTAGTGATGCACGATACAATTGCTGACCACTCACTGACCAACGCCAGACCCAGATCTGCCCCATCTCTTCCAGGTACCCTCCCTCAGTTTACATACTGGGCATGACATTCTATGATGCGGAATATCCATTTGGCCAGTTTGAGTACCCTGTCCTGGCTATGCTTCTTCCCTGTTTCTTTTGGGTACTTTCTCACTGGAAGAGCATGAGACCCAAAAGGAAAAAAAATAGTCCTTGTCTTAGGATAAACACTACTTAGAAAATCACCAAAACATCAGTATGTTATCAACATTATTCTCATTCTGAATCCAAACACAGTACTGTACCAGCTACTGAGGAGAAATTAACTCTAGCCCAGCCAAAACCAGGCTAAGTGCATACACCATTATGCCTAATAAGAATAATTTTTTTATGCTGTCAAAATACAAGCAGATAGCCTAGCAATCTTTAGGAAACTAAACCAGAACAAAACCCTGAGGAAGTGAATGAAATGCATTCTATATAAATATTTATGACCAAACACTGGACTTAATTCCTACGGTTTGGAAGAAGTTTAATATTCCTTCTCTTTTTATTCCTCATATCAAATCATTGAGGTAAGCAGAAGTGGGTAGACCAAATCATGCAATTTCAAAATTAAGTTTCTTCTACATAATAGTATAATATTCTTTTATTTTTTTATTTTTCACAGGTACATTCAGTAGGAAAAACATTCAGAAACAGAAGTCCTTACTCTTGATTCATTGGTATCAAGGACTCATCAGGCACCATCTTCAGCCTATTTCTTCAATTTTTTTGGTCAAGCAGAGGGAGAGCTTACTTAGTGCTGGTCCATCTGTCTCAGCTGAACTTGACTTCCTTGCTGTCTCATATTACAAATGCCTAAAAACAGCAAGGTAGTGAAAAGAGAACTAGATGATGAGGTCATTGAGTCAGTTAAGGACCTACTGTCTAATGAGGACTCTTCAGATGATGCCTTTAAGAAGAGTGAACTTATGGTTGATGATCAGGAAGAAAAAGATACAGATGTTGAAGAAGGCTCAGATGTAGAAGATGAAAGACCTGCTTGGAACAGCAAACTCCAGTATATTCTGGCACAAGTTGGATTTTCTGTGGGATTGGGGAATGTGTGGCGATTCCCGTATCTGTGTCAGAAAAATGGTGGAGGTAAGTTTTGTGACATAGCAAGTTGTACCTAAATGATGATGCTTACCTTTCAGATTTCAAGGTTAGCAGAGATAACCACAATAAAATCTGCTCCAACATGTCAGATTTTTTTCTAAATTTTTGCCAGAGCCTATGAGAAATATCCCATATTCTTTTTATTTAGAGAAATGCATCTGTTAAAGTTAGCAGCAGATTCTTCTAAGATACCATTTCCTCATTTTAGGGGGGAAAGTTCTTGATAGAACTTTAACTAATGGTCAGACTAGCAGCTAAGCAAAACACGTATTTATAGAGGGTTGCATTATTTAGGACCTGGTTATTGTTGTGCTCAAGTGTTCTTTATAGTACTTGGACAATAAATCAAGGCATTAAAACTGATTCCACTTTAAAGACCAAAAGAGCATTTGGTCTTTAGTATTTGGCGGTACTAAGCTTCACAGCTTTGCTTTCTAATTGCTTTTAGCTCCTGGCCATTTGATCATGATTTACTTTTGGCAAGAACAACAAAATGCTGTAGGGCTTAAAATTATTATTTTTTTTTGTTGTTACTGATAATGAATAATTTAAATCATTACATTAAGGGACTGCATCTGTTTTTGTGTTGTTAAACAGTTAACTATTTCCCTAAATAACAAGTTACCTTTCACTTAGAGCAGTAACATCAGGCTGTTGCTTGTCCATCTATGGTCTTTAATGCAGTATGAAGAATAAGGCTGGAGACTTTAGTTCCTCTATAAATACAGGATTGGTGTTTTATCCTATGCTATACTGTACCCTATTATGCTACTTTAATGCACAGCTAGTTAGGTGAGTTCAAAACAAGTCACTTTCTATTATACAAAAGGTGAATGTGTACAGAAAATAAAGAACAACATTTGTTGTATTTTAAAAACTGAATGACAAAACCGATGTACTTGGGGAATATAGAAATGAGCCTAGAATGTAATCAGAGTATAATTCTTTACTTTGAAGTCAAGTTCAGTTCAAGCAGTAAAATGAAGCTTATGCTCTTAAATATTCTGTGTCAAGGATACAGTCTAAATTCTTTTGTATCTAGTCACCGTAAGATTTTTTTTTTCTGCACACTCATTTAATTTCCTTTGTTCCCTTTTATTCTGGAGAGTCACTAAATGGTTTATTTAATGGTTTGTGTGGGATCTAAAATTTTCTTCATTTATAAATGTAATATTAACTGAGAAAATATATTGAATGTAGTTTGTCAAAAACCATAGCTTTTTAGTGGATGGCAATCCTATCTAGAATGTTAGGCACAGTATAGAATTGATCACTTAACGCTATTAGTTAAAAAAAAAGTTTTTTAATATTTTTTAAAACAAGCTATTTATAATTAAAGGTGTAGCTATGAAAGTCTTTGTATTCTCTATAATTTCATCCTAAGTGTGGTGTCAAGATGTAGTCTCAAGGATAATGCATTACAGCAGTTTGTTTTGTGTTATGTCCCTTTGAAAGTCTGTGTTTAATGTAGTTAATTACTAATTTTGCAAGCCAGTTGGATTCTTCTTTGAACCAACAGAAAGGATCCAGTGGTATGCTCCTTAGGCTGTTGGTTTCTTGCTGTCAGGCGCTTTTTAAAGTTACTCTGCCAGTGAGGGCAAATTTAATTCAGATCAAATATAAATGTATTAATTAATAATCTCACATTTTAGAAAAAAACCCAAACCAAAACAAGAAAGCAACCAACCTTCAGGAATTAGAGCACTTCATTAGTCAAAACTGAAAAAATAACTGGGGTGTCACTTCAGGATGAAGTTAAATGTTTTCTTCTGTGCTGCAGTTGTAGGAACTTGGATGTATCATGTAGTCTGTGGAATTATGATATTTTCTGCATATGACTGAGGCAGGGATGTTTTTGGATTTTACCAATAATTTTGCACAATTTTAGTAAATTGGAGCCTTCTTAACAGAGAAAATGAAGTGGTCATTAGAGCTGAAGCTTGCTTGGTTTTCAAGTTAACCATAATGGAAGGTAGAGAAGGTGACACAAACCTCTAAAAAGTGTAAAGTTCATTGCTGCCTGTATATGCATGTGAAGATAGACAGATAATTCTCACAAGTGCATAAAAAAAAAGAGGGAGGCAGGGTCAAGTTCAAACACATGGTAAGAAAACCTACACACATTTTATACGAGGACCTGTTTTTCTGCCACGTTTTATTTTAAATGTGTTTTATTCTAGGTAAAATTAAGAGTGATTTTATAAAAGTCTCCTAAACATCAGTGTCAGAACTGTTCTGTAGTCTTCTGCTGATAGAGCTTTACACTAAATACCTGTCTGAATGTAAGGTAAACAGCCTTTCTATGGATTTTCATTAGAATCATGTCGGTGAAGTATATGGCCAGGCTTGCACCTTCAGTTTTGTTCAAACATTTTTCATTATCTTCCCTGTGTTAAGGCACTTATATCTGACAAATACCATCAGGTGAGGGGAGTATATTAAAAAGTGGTAAAACAATGAATCCAGGTCCAGTTTAAACCAAAAAGAAGTAAAAAACATAGTTCCTCATTAGTTTCCCCTCACAGATTTCTTCTAGCATTGTGTTCCAAAGCCACCAGTAAAGAAAAGGCAAATCCTAACTGTGTAGTAATCTTCAGTTTTGTCTTTAAAAAAAAAAAAACCAAAAAACTATGACAAGAATAACAAAACCAATAAAATAAGCCCAGAAAAGATACAAACAGGTTAGCCCAAATAGATATATTATTCAAGGATTTTGTGGAGAAAGAAATTGGGTGTTTCCTGCCCAGCTTTCTAGAGAGATTTAGTTTGGTTTTGGCTGTGGCCTGTGGTATGCCAACACTCCTGATTTCAGAGCTCTATAGTGCTTCAATGAGATACCTGTGATACCATCTTTAAAAGTACTTGGATATCGCTGCACGTTAAAATAAGTGGTATTTGAGTGAGTGTTAATGAAGAAAAGTGAGGGGTCTACAGAGTACTGCATGCCCAGAGATTGTGTTGTATTTTTGTGAGCATTAACTTAATTTTCCTGATTATTTTTTTTAAGGTCAGTCTGTTTAACATCTGTGTGATGTAAAAAGTCAAAAGAACTAGTAAACAATGATAGGTAGAAGCTGTGAGCAGCATAGGGAAAATTGTAGCAGATGATATTGTCATTATGCTTTGAAAAGATTGATGTGCATAGAGCCACATCATGAGTTTTTACAGTTAAGTAGTCTAAATTTTCTACTGAAATACCAGCGGATTGAACAGTGAAATTCTGTGGTCTTATCAAACAGTACAGCAGTTGTAGTGGAGAACTGCAGAGCAAGTATTCCCTTGTATTCCAACACTGAGTACAGATTCAGTGGCTTCATTATTTAGTTATTGATCAGTAATTTATGTTCAGTGCCTTGAGTTCACTGATGACTTCAGTATTATTTTATGGGTTGTGTATTATCAGACTCAAAATTTAGTTGTACTTCAGTGTTCTGTCTTGTTTCTATTTTTCAAGTGCAATTCTTCCTTGAAGCTTATTGGCTAAGGGAATTTTCATCCTTTAAGCACAGTTTTGTATATAGGCACACCTGAACGTATTTAAACTGAAACTCTGACAGGAAAGCTATCAATAGGATAAACTACAAACCTACAGGTCAAACATAAAACCATTTATCAGGGTTTTCCTAATTTAAAAGTTTGTATTTTGTAGTGGTAATTAATTTCACTTTCGGAAGCTTAGTAGACACTTAACCTTTAGCATTTTGTTGCCCACTTGTCATGACTTTGAAAATTTTAGCATCCGACATTTAAAATAAGTTGATCTTCATCTGAATATCAGCTTCTTGCTTGTTTTCTATTAGTAAATGTCTAGTAAGCTATAAGAACTGGGCTGGCTCTTCAAGACAGTGGTAGATTCCACCTTGTTTGAATAAGAATTCAATCAGACGCTAGACACGTAATTAAACTCTAGCACAGCAGCAGCTGAAGCAAATCTTGAAAGTTAATATGTTTTTCAGGATACATCAAGAATGTAGGAGAGGAAAAGTTCCTCTGTAGTATTAAGATGGTAACGGTTATGTCACCTTGCTTTATTACTTCTGAAATTATTTTCCAACTCTTTAATCCCTATGTCACATGTAATTTTATGGTATTTTTTTATCCTGAGCATTTATAGAAACTTAAAATCAATTTTAATATTCCACTCTATCAATAATATTGTCAAATGTAGTACATATTGTAATATCAAGAGAGACAATTTACCATATTCCATTGTGGTGCTTAATTAAATTTAAAAAGTTAAGATCTCAAAGCAGTGCTATGTTAACAATCACCAGTCCATGAAATCTTGTGTCTTTGTCATTGATTCTAGAGAAGGATGGGGGATATTTTTTTCCTTACAAAGTTGAGATGATTTTTTCTAATATAAAATCCAGGCCTTAAGACAAAAATATGCAAAAAAAAAAGTGACTTCACAGTAAAATAATTTTGAAAACATAGAAAGGAGACCTGGGGATCCTGAATTGCCCAGAATTATAATATTCAGAAGGCAGCTTAGCTGGTAGATGTAGCAGACGACTAATTGTAGGATGTTGTTCAAGGTCAGCATGTATAGTTTATTATTCTAATTCATATGAAAATGGTCCTTATCCAATATTGTAACTGCCAGGACCCATGTTTTCACGCACTGACCAAAAAAGAGACATGCTGAGGTGTTTCCATAGTGATTCTGTTTTAGGATGAAGTGAAGATGTCTTCCAGTTCTTTGAAGTATGCCTAAGTTTTAAAGAAGGCTGAAGCAAAATACTTGCCTAGAGATGCTGTGGTTTCATGTTGACTATAGGGCATGGAAGCCCTTTGCAGCTGTGATGTACAGTTTTATAATCCAGCTATGTCCAGACTGTATGATACTGAAACTCACACATGTGCAATTTTTCATTAGATCCTTTTTGGGGGAGGGGAACAAGATCACAAGGGAGCTCAGCCAGTTCGAATATCAGAAGACCTGCACTTCAGGTGCTTTGCACAAGCTCGGTAGTATAGAGGGTGAACTTTGCTGTCTGGCTACCCTGAATTACAGGATTGTCATGTCTAATGTCATGTGGATTTAACACCACATTTATTTAACTCATGTAGTAGAATCTAACTGACAAATCTTGTAACTTACATTGATACTGCACCATAAAATACCCACATCAGCCCAGTCTTTAAACATGTGCTTAACTTTGCAGCCTTGTGATTAAGGTTGTGGACTGGGACACTGAAGAGCTGGGTTCAGTTCCTGCTCTAGTACAGTCATCCAGTGGGATACAGGGTAAGTCACTTAGGCCCCAATTTTTTTGAGCTGTTTAGGCTTGCCTCTGCTCAGATATGCCACACCTGTCTAATTCTGTCAAATAACACTAGCTGTGTGTTGTTGGCTTTCAATTAATTGTATGACCAAATTTTTAAAGATAGTGATGCCAAAGTTTCTCATTTGCAGTGTGAATTAATTTCTGTCTTCTTGAAATTTTGAGAGAATGTTGGTGACAAATCAAGGGTATTTCATGCATTTCTCAAACATATGCTTAAGACAGATAGTCCCCCTCATTTTAGAGTGTGGTCGTTGCTCTATTCCTCAGTTTTCCTCACATTTATTTCTTTCTGTCTCTGTTGTCTCTCTTTTCCTAGTAGAAATCAAGTCATTTGCCTTCTTTCCAGTATGTGCACATAGAAGATGAACCACAAGAGATACTAGAGTATTGAATGGGAATGTAGGTGCTACCTCTTTAGAAATAATGCTTCAGTAGACACTGTAGAGTGCTGTAATGGGTAGGTAGACCATGATGTTTGGCTCTATGAAGGTAGTATTGTAACCTCAAAATAGGTATATTTTTCAGAGCCTGACATAGATTTTGACCAAATGCTGCTCAGTCAATATCATTGCATATCATATTATAGTGTCAGGAAAACAAAACACAGGAGCTATTTCATTGCTGACATAGCTTATAGACTGTAAGGTATGTAAGATTAATATTCTTTGCCTGGTCCACCAATAGTCTTTCATAGAATGGTTTGGGTTGGAAGGGACCTTAAAGATTTTCTAGTTCCAGCCCCCCTGCTATGGGAAGGGAACCTTCCATTAGACCGTGTTAATCAGAGCCCCATCCAGCCTGGCCTTGAACATTTCAAGGGATGGGGAGTCCTTAGCCTCTCTGGGCAACCTGTTCCAGTACCTCTAACCTTATAGTAAAGAATTTCTTCCTAATATCTAATCTAAACCTACCC